GGCGCCCAGACTCACCTTGGACCCCTCCTCTGGCAGCGGGCATCTCGGTCTCCCCAGGGCACTCCCGTTCACAGCGGACCCTGGAATGGGAGGGAAGGAAGGCCGTGCAGCGGGGAGGGCGCCCAGCCTCTTGCCACCCTGCCCCTCTGTGGGCCACAGGGGCTCCCCCTGAGGGTCCGGCCCCAACAGCTCAGCAGCATCAGCGTCATCCGTGGCTGCAGCCTGGGCTCCCGGCTGCCGCTCCCGGCTCTCCCACACCAGGCCAAACCCATCCCGGCCTCGCACCCCTGCTCATGGGGTTCTCCTGGCAGACACGCCCAGCAGCTTTCAGAACCAGGAGTGACCGTGTCCCACCCCAGAGCCTGCCGTGGGGCCCAGGCACAGCCCCCTGGAGGGTCCCCGATTCTGACAGCCCCCCAGATGGTCCCCAATTCTGACAGCCCCCCAGATGGTCCCCGATTCTGACAGCCCCCCGGATGTGCCCTGGCTCTTCCCCGAGTTGCCCAGCACCCCTCAGCATTGGTGGCCATGCCCACAGGAGCTGCCCCTGCGTCCAGGCCTGCCTCTCGCGTTCAGGCGCCTGACGGACTCATAGGACACAAAGGCGAGCCAAGAGCACCCCACACACTTTGGGGCGACCCCTCCCAAACCAGCCTGGGGCCCACTCACCAGGCCTCCCCAGACCCACCCCCCCAACACCCCGACACCCAGGGCTGGCGGTGGCCGCCTCTACCTGGAAAACGCCTGGCGGTTGCTATGGTGGCTGTTGCCCGTGGCAACGTTGGCGTTAGCGTTGTTGGTGTTGGCGCGGGCCAGCGGGTGGGTGCTGGGGTCCTGCGGGAAGTCCTCCAGGAAGACGGGCGACTCCAGCTCCTCCATCTCGATGTCGGAGAACTGCAGGGGCCTCTGGTTGGCCAGCACGGGCGCCAGGGAGCTGGGCCGGTCCAGGAAGTTGTCCACTTGGCCGAACAGGCCCCCGGTCCTCTAGGGGAGGGAGGAGGGAGGGAGGGAGGACTGAGCGCGGGCCGGGCGAGGGCTGGGCGGGGATATTGGACATCGCAGCTCCCCTCCTGCGTCACCATCTCCTCATGGAGACCCCAAGAAGGGCCCGGCCGGTGTGGCTCAGCTGTTGAGCATCGACCTAGGAACCAGGAGGTCACGGCTCGATTCCTGGTCAGGGCCCAGGCCCGGGTTGTGGGCTGGATCCCCAGTGCGGGGCGTGCAGGAGGCAGCTGATCCATGATGCTCTCTCATCATTGATATTTCTCTCTCCCTCTCCCTTCCTCTCTGAAATCAATAAAAAAGAACCCAGGAAGGTTTTGCCAGGCGGTCGTTAAGGGGCCATGGGACACTAGACAGAGCACAGGTAACCGGGACAGGTGGGCATCTGACCACAGAGGGCACGCGAGAGACGAGGGTTGACTGGGGCTGGGGCGGGAGGAAATTTGTTCCCTCGAGGAAGTTGGCTCATGGATTCTGAGCCCTCGGAGCTGTGGGTGGTGGGCATCTCCGGCTTCCACGCCCCCCTCCTGTGGGCCCCCCCTGTCCCTGACAGGTGGCTGCCCCCCCCCCCCCC